TGATGATTGAAAATCAGTAAAATGTTGATGTAAACGTTTTCTTTTGTTACTATAAAATTGTAATTTTACTTTTTTATTTTTTTTTTACTTTCATATATATATATTTTTTAATTTATTTAAATCAATTTAATTTTTAACATTTAGACAAAAAATATTAAAAAATTGATGATGCTCTACAATTTATTTCTATTAAATTAAGAAATAATTATAGATCTGAAAGGCCAGGACCTGAAATAAAAAAAAAGTTTTTTTTTTGTTATTAAAAATGAATTTATTATGTAAAAATATTTAATAAAAAATAAATAATTTGTAGTTAGATTCAAAAATAAATAAAAAGCAAATGAGCAACAAAAATCTTTATCTAGCAATTCTTATACACATATAACTTCAATTTTAATATACATAATCAAAATGTCCACACAAAGTTATAACAATATTATTGAAAAAAAATATAATACAGACAAACAAAAATTCATATAAAATTTAAATTTAATACATAAATTATGTTCTATAAGACGTATAAATTACATCATACATACAATGCAACTAATGTTAAGTTAATTTTCTTTGTGGTTAAAATTGCAGATTGACAGTTTACTTATATGAAATTTTATTTACAGTTTGAAATTTTGAGCGGTGAAAATTATCAACGCTGTTGGTTGGTTTACACACTTCAGAAATTATATGCCAAATTCATGTCAAATCACTTATACGTATGTTTTTTTACCGACCGCATTGCATACAATAAGAAAGAAAATGTGGTGGTACCAAATTTCGGATGTTGAGTTTTCGGTGGTAACGCGCTTCTTTGTAGTGAGGAAGCATAAATAAACTATTTTTAAAGAGATGTCAGTCTTTTAGCCTATAGGTCTGCGAGTTTGTGTGGATGCGTGTATCTCAAATTCGACTGAACCGATTTTGATAAAATTTTGTATGTGAGTTTATTTTGGCACGAATTGATCAACTTTCGGGATATATCAGAGCTCTGAAACAAGAGATTTTTGCGGGCCGATTTTACATTTCTGCGTAATATAACACGAAATTATCAACCAATTTCCGTGAAATTTAAATTTGTGGTGTTAAAACAATGAATTCGTAAAATTTTTAGAAAGATCAGGGCTCAGAAACCTGGGGGCCGATTTTACATTTTTTATATCTACGGAACGGATTGATTGAAATTTTTGAAATTCAATATTTAAATTCTAATTATTACTGAAACTAACTGGTGAACTTTTTAGAGAATTCGGGTTGCACAATACGAAATTCAACAAAGAGCCAAATTTACACTGTTCTAGAAATGTTAACAATAAGTTTGCTAGCTTCCTTAAAATTGAAAAGAAGTGTTCAAAAAGTATTTTCATTAAACTAGACAATATAAATTGCGGTCGTAAACTTGGCAAAAAATGACAACAAACTCGACATAATTGTTTCTAAACTGATTGCCAAGTAATTGGCTTTATTTGCAATTATCAATTTATTTCAAAAACTGGCATATTATAAGTCACAAAATTTACAAATCTGACCATAAGAATAAAATTCAAATTTGAATATAACCCATAAATATTATGTTTTATAAAATGTATATAAATATATGTCGATAAATAACAAATAATATTACTAATTATTTAAAATCAATAAATGTTTTATGTACATATATCTAAAACTCTTATGTATGTAAATTTTTTCTAAATTTTTTTTATTTAATAATCAAAATTCTTTAATTATTTTTATTAAATGATTATTTTAGTAAATTTAGAAACTAAAACATAATGTTATTTAATTTAAATTATATATTATATATTAAGAGAAGCACATTCTATACAAATGATCTGTTGAATTTCAATTTTAAAATGATCAATATGCATATTTTAATTCAAAGGAATACTATACTTTATACAAGCCCATCTATCCATCAAGTCGAAAATAATGATTGATAGATAACCTATATTATTATTAAGTCTATTTTCGAAGTCAAAAAAATTGATTTCGTTCGAGAAATTATTCATAATAATATCTGTCACCAAATTATAATTTAATAAGTGTTAAACTCTCCATTTCAGTAAAGTATACCAATTAAACAAATTAATACACTTAAATAGATAGCCACTAAGTTACAAAATCAAATATAATTCTTGTTTTTTTTTTCAAAATTAGAATTTCTGGTCATCACATAATATGTTAACCTATAGTTGATATAATTGCAAGCCTGATTGTAAATTATTTCAAATTGTTGTCAAATTATAAGTTTTGAGGCTACTGATTTTGATTTCTAATTATGAGATTTGAGTTATATGTTATGCAGCTGCTAATACTAACATTGTTAAATATTACAGAAATAAAATTCTGCTAGCTTTTCATTTTTTTTATTTACAGAGCAAATATTTTAGTAAATTATTAATTATACTTATATGTTGAATATATGCAAAATAAAAACACAACAAAATATTCTAAATTTTAAAATTTATTTTAAAATTTAAAATAATTTATTTATTTAAAACATTAAGATGTAAAAAATAGAACAAATATATCAAAAAAAAAGAATCGTTACTTAAAAACATGAAAAATCTTTTTTTTTTATTCAAAAAGAAAAAAAAACGATAAAACAATTTTGTTTTTGAGAAAACTTCACCTTTTTTATCTTATATTTTATTTATAATAATATGTAAATGTATTAAATATTATTGATTGTTGTTTTAAATATGTATGTATATATTGGTTAAATTTCAAAAATATTTTCAAAAATTAAAAAGAAAAGAATTAATGAATTAATTAAATAAAAATATCACAAACGGAACGAACAATATATAATGATTGGAAATAAGAAATTAGGAATTAAAATAAAATTATATATGAAGCTTTATAATTTTACAAAAAAAAAAAATTAGAAAAGAAATCAAAAATCAAAATAAAATGTAAGATATGATTTTGTGATTGATTTTATCTTATATAAAATCCAACATTTTATTATAAAACAATAATAAAATTATACTACATTTTTATTCTAAATTTTAAAGAATCGTAAATTTAAATCCAAATTTTGATATTAAAAATTGGTGTTTTATAAAACGTTATCCCCCCAAAAAAAATTTACATTTCTTTTAAATTTTTTACAAATTTTTTTTTTTTTTTAATAAAAAATTTAGTATAATTTTATATTTTAATTTAATTTTTAAACTCTTTGGTCTTTAGACATTAAAACCTTGTGTTGAAAAATTGATTTTAATCTCCAAATCTAAAAATTCATACTTCATTTATATTTACATAATTATTATTTTATAAAATTATTTATTTTTATTTCTTACATATTTTACAGTTATTCATTTTTTGTTTTAGTTCGTTTCGCAAGCCAAAAGGTGGAGTTTACTCCATTGTTTTGACTAGAAAATATTTTTATATGTCGTTAAGGTACGCGCTCTTTTTTTTTATAAATTTAATTTTCTTTTTTATGGAATTTTCAAATAGCAAAAATTCTTAAAACATTTTTACAGTATAATTTTTTTATTTTGAAGTATTAAAAAATAAGAAATATTTTTGCTATTTAAAACCTATTAGACTAAATTATGATTTTTTAAATGAATTCATTATTTTTGTTAATATTATAAATAAAAAAAAAAAATTAATTATATTTAAAAAAAAAATATGTGAAAAATTCATTATTCGTTTCACATTTTCTATATTTTTGTATTTTTAGTCTTATCATTTATTTAGTCTGAATTGAGTTTTTTTTTCAAAAATTTTCTAATCAAAAGAAAATTTCTTGTTTGTTTTGTTTATGATTAAAATTTGTTATTAATATAAAAAGAAAAAAGGTATGCAAAAAATATAATATAATAGAAAACACGAACGTCAAAATGTGATTAAAAAAAAAATAAATTCAAACGAATAATTTTACAGAAAAAAAAATTTATACAAAATAATCAAATATTTATTTTAATCAATTTTTTATACCTTTATTTAACAAATATTTCAAATTTTTGTGTTTTTTATATTAATTTTCGTATTGTACCGAGAGACTTTCTTGCATTTATATTTTATTTTAAGTCAAATTTTCTATATGTATCAAGATTATGAAAGTATGATGAAATGTCAATATTGTATTCTTTGATTTTCGTTTAATTATTTTTGATAATTCGCAACACTTTATTTTCATATTATTATTATTTTTGTTTTTTTTTTATATAACACTGAAAACTCTGTTAAATATTTATTTTATTTTTTTTTTTTGTGTTTTCGTGAGTTAAGATATTGTTTTTATGAAAATTTGAAAGGAAATGAAATGTAAATGGATTTATTAAGTGAAATCGAGGAAAGGAAAAAATTAGGATTAGATAGGAATCGAATAAGATATATGTATATTGTGAAACATTGTTTTAAAGAAGGAGATTTCTAATCGATATTGTATATTTTGTGAGTCTCTTTTTTCTCTAACTTTAACTTAATTATGTGAAAAATGACATTTTGTTGACAAAAGAATGACATTTCATATAATATTTTCACAAAACATTTTGTCTAAATATATTCATAATATTTAAGCAATGACAATTCGATTAGAATTAAAATTAACAATTAACAATTACTTGAATAGAGATAGATTAAATGGCAGTTATAATATTATTATGTTTTGTTTTGAAATTAATATAAATAGGATATAAATATAAATATACATACATATATATATTACTTACGATTTGATATATTATTATATATAATTATTCAATAAAATAAAATATAATATATTTGCTAAAAACATTATATATAGTTTTAAATAAAACTTAAAATATAAAAAAAATATTTTGTTGGAAATATGCTTATTCTTTATACTCATTATTTAATTAGATATTTTGAATATTTTTCTCTTTTATTATACAAAACAGAAAGTTATAAAAATAAATACAACATTTACAACTACAGAATATAATATTATGTAATATACAGTTAAATGAATTTATATAATTAAAGAAAATAATATATGTGTATGTGTGAATATTTTTAAATTAAATAAAAATTTCTTTTTAAATGCAAAACGATCTCAATATTTTTTTTTCTTAAATGCTTTAAATGAACGAGTTTTCAAATGAAAATCTTGACACTTTACTCATATATGATATTCAAAAGAATATTATTACATAACATATAATCAAAATAATATTTATTTTAAAAATTTGTATTAATTTAATTTTGTGTTATGTTAAAATATTTTCAATTAAATTAAAGTAATTTTCAAGATATAGGTTATCTTTAAAAAAAAAAATTAATAATTGAAGAATGCGCACGGAAAATTCCGGATTCAAAATGGCAGTGAGCTGGAGCTGCATCAAAATTTGGTAATAAAATATTTATTATTATTGATAGCTGATTTTTGAGCATTACATAAATTAAGAAACTTTATATTTTTGTTTCGTCAGTTAAATTTCATTTTAAAAAACGAATGAATGGTAACCTTTGAATGAATTGTGTTGATGCAAAATTTTGACAAAAATCTTATCTTGTTAATGAATTGGAAGAACGTTTTTTAGGTAAAATACAAAGAGTTTTCGCAGTTCTGAACCTCTTTCACGTAAATTTTTATATTTTCAATTATTTTAATTGAAAATTTTATGACATCATTTGATTTATTTGGCAAATAGGAAACCATTATATTTCTTTTTTCATATATTCAAATATACATTCTGATCTACAAAAGATCTTTTTGTAACTAACTTATCTATATAAATGCAAAATCAGTCCGTATTTAAATTTTAAATTTTTTGCTTACCCCTATCTACCCTTGCTCTTATACTTTACCCCATCTAGTTATTGAATTACTTCGAACATATTTAAATGCATTTTCACTGTCCCGTTCTATACTACTACGAGTCATACTATTTGCTCGAAATATATCTGGTGATTCAGATATTCTAGTTAAATCAGTATTAACAGTTTTTGAGCTAATAACTCTTGGACATCTTGCAATTGATCGTCCTCTTCTTATACCGGTAGGTAATTTATTTTCTACGTCAGGTTTTTTAATTGTTTTCGGACTATTTCGTATCGTACTACTGCTATTTACATTATTACTTGAAGTTTTATTACTCCACGAATCGTAATATTCCGAATAAGAGTCTGTTTTAAATTCTTGTGGTGTTAAAGCCGGTGTTGATTCCAAAGAGGTGTTATCTAATGAATCTAAATGCTCTTCTAATACTCTTTTAGCAGCTGCTTGTATTCTTTCCATTGGTAAATGTTTAAATTGATTACCACTAGTTTTTAACATTAAACTTTGTATTAATTCGTTAACTAATTGATCACTAACTGCTTTGTTCGTATTATTTGTACTTGTTGCTGGGGACATTGGTGAATTTGATGTTGAAAGATTATCTGAATCTATGCTAGTGCTTGCTTTAAGAGGTAGTGATAAACGTTCTCTGCGTTGTGACATAGTTTCGGCTTGTTTAATCGCATCAGGATTATTACGCCTTGTTATCGAAACATTATGTATAATTTTCTTTTTAGAAGGTTTACAATTAAATTCCTCTGCTAATCGTTTTTCTTCTTCAGTCATTTGTTCTTTTGAAATATCTGTTACCGCTTCACTTTCGTCAGTTAACAATCTAAATAAGCGAGAGTGTGTAGCTGCTCGTTCATATCTTGACATTTTACGAAGTTCTGGGAAACATTCTGATTCGGTGTCAGTCTCTGAAATCAGCTTACTCATATCTGTAACACCAGAATCATCATCTATTTCTGATTCAGATCTTTGTAATGAGCTAGTTCTGCTCAAGTTATCTTTCGAATTCTCTTTTGACGTGTTTGAAGAAGTTTGTATATCAAGCTTATTTATATCTTTAGTTTGTTCAACAGTACCTGTTTCAAAGGCCATTATTTTATGACGTACAGAAGCTTTGGAAATGTCATTTTCATTATTATATTCTTGTGCAATTTCCAAATTATTCGTGTTTTTGTTATCATCGCATTCATGGATAATTTCAATTTCAATCTCCTCACAATCTTCATCCTCATGAGAATTTGTGTTATAATAATTATAACAGTTTTCTTTAGAATTAATCTCATTTTCAAACTCATTTTTAAATGAATCTATTGCAGTCGAATATGTCGCTTCATATTGATTTATAGAAGACGATCTTCTTGACTTATCTAATTGGTAACAATTAGAATTTGATTTCAAAACTGTTGGTTCATAAGAATTAGAATGAAATTGCATTTTCGGCATGTTGTCATTCTGATTAGTAATTGAATTTTTACGCGATTTCTCACAATCACTTGAAGTTATACTTGACCCTCGTTTTAACTTGTCGTATTCATTTACTGTTCTATTTGAATCCGCTCGTAATGTTTCAAATGCGCATGGCGTCATATTTGATTCTTTTCTACTCTTTTCAAAATCATACCTTGTTGTACTTGAGTCTCTCCTAAGTCTATCATCATAGCGACTTGTACTGCGATCTCTTCTGCGTTTTTCTTCTTCTTCATGGATTGAACTTCGTCTTTTGAAATAGTTCATAGCTGTTTTATAATTATTTCGACATTCTTCTTTGTTTTCATTTTTATCGATAGTTTGTGCAAAATTTGAGTTATCGTTAAATCCATTTGAATTCTGATGATCGATATTTTCAATGTGATTACATTGATTTGACTGATCTTGTAAAAATTTTTCACAGTTTTGAAGCTCAGAAGAATCAGAACTTTTTTGTTTCAAACTTTGTTCAGAATAACAATATTCATTACCAGCGTTATTTTCTAAAGAATTCCAACAATCAAACTCATTTTGTGTTGAACTTTCCTGATTATAGTCTGTCCTTTGTTTTTCGGAACTCTTTAGGGGTTCAATTGCTATATATTTCGAGTTTTGTGAAACTTTTTTATTTGTAATTTGTTCAAAATAATCTTTTGTATCATTGAAATCAATCTCATTATCAACAACTTCGTTTACAGTTTCTTGTGCATTTTCTTTATTTTCATTTGTTTCACCAAAGTACTGAACTTCTTCTGCTGGACAATAGTATTGTGAGGTTAATAGTTCTAATTCATTTTGCTTATCAGAAATACAATTTATTGGATGTTTGTTTCGATGTTTTTTAGATTTTTTATTTTTCTTTTTACCTTCTTTACTTTCAGAAACTTCGTTAACACTTTCACTATTTTCTGTCATATCAACTGAAACCTCAGTTTGTAGTTTGCTCTGTTTTTTAATTTTATTATCTGAGGAGAAATTTTCGTCTACATAATCATTATTTGGGTTCTGACTTTTAACAAACTCCTCTAAAGCACTCTGAGCTGCCCAAAAATCTATATTATCGTCAATAACAACCTTATCTGAATCATCAACCGCTTGTTTTCTTTCCTTTGTTTCTTCTTTTGATTTACATTTTTTATGTTTATCCTTTTTTGATCCAATAGTTTCGCAAACATTTGAAATAAGTACTGGCTCTACATTTTTCTTACTTTCTAAAATGCTGTGAGCTGCCCAAAAATCTATGTTATCATCAATAACAACTTTATCAAAAGTTTCACTAGCTTCTGTTTCTGTCTTAATTTTTGCATGTTTATCAGTTTTAAAATTCTTTGTCTGCAATTCTTTTTTCATAACCGTTGGCTCTGAATTTATCTTGTTTTCTAAAGCATTTTGAGCCGCCCAAAAATCTATGTTATCGTCTATTATACCCTTATCATTACTTTCAATAGATTTCTTTCCAATTCTTGCTTCATCCTTTGTTCTTAATTTCTTAAGTTTTTCTCTTTCTGAACTATTCTTTTCTGATATACTTGAAACGGCAGCGGTTTCAGTATTACTGTTGTTTTTCAAATTGTTTTGAGATTCCCATAAGTTTGCTTTATCCTCAATAATACCTTTCTCAGAGACCTCTACAAATTCCTTCACTTTCTTCATATCTTCACTTCTTTTACTCTTTCTATATTTATCTTTCTTTGAACTACTAACCTCTAAATTACTTGATTCAGACACAGATTCATTTACGTTGTGTTTCTCTTTCTTTAGAGAATTACAATCTAATTTACTTGTTTCAGTTTCAGATTCTGATTCTTTCCTCTTCTTTTTACTTTTTGTATGCTTTTGCCTAATTTCAGTTGAACCACCTAAAGCATTTTCAACTGCCAAAATTTCAGATTTGCTTTTACTTTCCGTAATTTTATATTCCTTTGCTATGTTATATTCCACGTTAGGACAATTTATATCAACCCATGTATTGCTTTCACCTTCCACTATTTGTTGTTTCTGATCACTTTTTAATTTTTTTCGTTTTTCTTCTGGCAAATTTTGGCCCAATTTTGTGTTATGTATAACATTTTGCATTTCTATTATATTTTTACTATCATTTTGCTTACTTGTGTTCGATTCGCTATAATTTCCCCAGAAGTCAATTACAGGTTCATATTCCATTTCTTCAAAAGCTTTTTTATCACAGTCTTGACGAGCTTCATCTACTATTTCACATTTGTTGTCTTCAGAAGTCAGAACATTATCTCCATTTACATCTTCCATTTTTACTTCATCATTTGACACTCCATTGTAGCCCAAGTAATCTGTAAAGTTCTTTTCAATCATATCTGTTTCTTCATATCTTTGTTCATCCACTGATTTCCAATATTCAAAAGTTTTGTCTATCACTTTATGTTTTTCCAACGTTTTGGCTTCATCCTCATAATCAGATGCTTTGCTGGAACTCCAGAAATCAGTGACCTCTTCTTCTTTTTCCTCTTTTTCAGTTTTATTATCATCAAGTTTCGCACTTCTGCTCTCAATTTCTTTATTTTTTTCACATGTTTGCCAAAAGTCAATATTACCACTATTCTGTGTTGTTATAGCAAAAGTCTTTTTTTCATTGGCGTACTCCTTATTGCACAGAAGGTTTGCACCGCTCTCATTCTTTGTCACTTGAACCGTTTTATTTTCTTCTTCATTATTAATGACACTCCAAAAATCAATATTGTCTTCATTATCCGTCATCTTAACATTTTTAACTTTAGATACTTTTTCGCTAGTTGTCCATAAATCAGCTGAAATATCTTCATGATTTGGTAACCTCAAAAATTCATTTTGTTTTTTCGATTCATTAAAGGCTTGAATATCATTTGTACTTGTCTGACTTATAATATCACCATTTTGGGTTATAGTTTTTGTACTACAAAAGTCATCTGTTGATTCGTTATGTACAATTGGAGCACGATAAAATCCATCATCATCGTGGTTTTTAATATTAGCCCAAAAATCAATTTCACCCCCATCTTCCTCACTTATATTATTTTCCTCAACATTTGTAGAAAGATCAAGCGTTGTTTCTACATCAGTTGTATTAGATTTTGTAATAGTGCCACAAAAGTCAATAGCATCATTAGCTAATTCTACTTGATTATTTCCTTCTTCATCATCAAGGTCACGATTGTTATAGGCCCACTTCGCTATAAGCATTGAAGTAACTTTAGAATGCTCTTCCCAAGTGGTTTGCACAGATTCTGATGTTGATCCCTTTTTTTGGTCCTTTTGATTATCCAATCCAATAACCACTTCTGCTTTGTCATTTACTAAATCAACACAATCATTTGATGAGGACTGTGAATCAGATTTAGCTATATTATTTGTAAGATCGCCGTTATAAGTTTCATTTAAAAATTTATTTCTCATATTTAATGAAAACGAAACCGAAACTTCTTCCTCGTCTGTAACTACAGAGTCTTCTTTCTTAAAAACAGATTCTCGAGATTTTTCAATTTTATTTGCTTCATGGGATTTTTCAGATACGTTAGAGCCACTACGAACCGTCGAGAGATTTACTGTAACACTTACATCACAGTCATCACTATCTACAGCACTGATGCTAGTAATACTAAACCTTCTATTAATTTCTTTTTGCATTTGTGTGTCATCAGAATTTTTTCTTTTTTTATCATTTTTACAATTTGTTTCTTGAAGATCTGCTCTTAAAGAAACCTTTTCACTTCTTTCCTGTAAATCAATTGGCATTTCTGTATCATCAAAATCAAAGGAACAACTGATGCGTTTTAATTGATCTTTAATATCACTAATCGACGACTTCCTTGATTCGCTTTTATCACAACAATAGTGTTCAAGTTCGGTAGAAGCTAAACTAGAACGTGGAGATAACGCGTTAAAATCGCTCAGGTCATCTTTTATTGAAACAATGCTTGAACGACGTGATGAAGAATCTTTAATCTCGCTTGTACCTACTTCCACAGTTGTAACATTTTCATCATTTTCTGAACGACTAAAGGAAAGTTTTAGGGGAAGTCGAACGCTTACTAGATTCAAATCTTCTTCGTCATATGTTTCATCTCCTGAATTTAAATCTTCAACAGTCTTATCATCATTGTCTAAGGCTTCAACAGTATCACTTCCAGAAAAATTTTTATCATCTTCTTCTTCTTCACCAATATCTTCCAGCCCATCTTTCATGAATACAAATTGAATTTCATCCTCTTCCGAATTAGGGGACTCAATTTCATCAAACATTTCCTTAAATCTACTGTCAATTTTTTCATTACTAGCTTTAAAAGATTCTTCACAAAACGGATCTTCTGGAGCTTCAGTTTCATTACCCAAATCGTCTTGATCTAAAATTTTACTATTTTCTGTTGTTGGATCCTCATCTGTTTCAGTATTATACGTTTGTATATCACGAACAGACTTATTGGAACATAATACTGGTTCTTCATACTCTTCGAACGATGATTCCTCGGAATCATCAGAATCAGAAAAAGATTCTTCTTCGGAAGAACTTTTATCTGTTTTCATTATTTTTGGAACTGGAACAATTTCATTATCAGACTGAGTAAAATTAGAAATTGGGGAATTTGACGAACTAGAATTTAGGTTAGGAGATGGTGTATGTGAACTGCTTGGATTATCTCTACAAGATTTTGAAAGACTTTTATTAGATTCACCTAAATATGTTTTATTATTGGTTTTGCTTATATTTAAATTTATTGTATCTGAACTATTAATATCATCTAATTTAGCTGACAACTCATCTATAACAGAATCTTCTCTCACAAAATCTTTAGAATCATTGGAAGAATTATTTCCTTTGTTCGAATCAGAATTTTTTTTGAACTTTTGATTATTATTCTGATCAGAGTTAATAATATTATTAAATCTAGAAATTATTTCTTTTGCATTTATACTCTCTATTTCGGGAGCCTCACTACTAGATCTAATACCAATGTTAGGTTTTTGACAGTTTGAATCAACTATAACACTGGATGCTCTATATCCACGTGCTGTCAATTCATCCTTATTATAATTTTGTTTTTCTAATTCCATATGTTCTTCCTCTTCAGTTTCATCAAAACTCTGTGTTACAATAATATTAGGAGGTGCACTATTTCTCCACCCATTTGTGATTGCATTATTCATACCATTTCGACTACGCGCTAAATTACGACGTCTTCGTACAGCCGCATTTGAATCATAACTGCCATATAAACTACCATTACTATTATAAAATGAATTGTTAAAATTTTGTGGATCATAATCGGGTGGTATATGGTGTGGAGGATGTAAGGGATGTGGTGGTGGAGGATAATACGGATGGTAATAATACGGATATGGTGGAGGTGGATACGGCCAATTTTTCATGTCATGACTCTGTAAATTTTGCGGTGGAAATTGATAGGGAGGTGGATATCCTGGATATCCGTAAGGTGGATATGGTGGATATGGATAAGGATAATTTGGTGGATCTAATGGTGTAGGTGATGGTTGGGCTCTATTATTATTGTTGTTATTATTAATATTGTTATTACTACAATTATTATTGTTGTTATAATTTGTATTATTATTATTATCATTATTATTGTTGCTATTGTGATTATTATGATTGTATTCGTTATTCATGTTATCATTATGATTGACATTGTTATCAGTGTTATCGTTATTATCATTGTTCGGTGATGAATATGATGAATTGGAAGATATTTGTTCATGTTCAACATCCGAGCCTTCCATCTCGGCTATAAAAAAGAAGAAAGTGAATTTATGTGCGAAAAAAAGAAAATATTTTATGTTTTTTTTTTTTTGAGTTGTGTATGTATTATTACATTCTTAAATACTAAAAATAATCCTATATGCGATAAAACTCTAGCCAGTGTATTTAATAAGATTTTTAAATTACTTACTAAATTGAAATTTAAATTTCAATAAATTGAATTTCGATCAAATATTCAACACAAGCTTAATGACTAAAACCATTGCAATTTTTTATTAGCTTTCATAAGTTGTTCAATAATGAAATTTTGTAATTTTTCTGCAAAAATTAAAATATATATATGTATGTATGGAAAGGATTGGTTTAACAAAAACATTATCTTTTACAATGGAAGCTAATAAAAAATATTTTTTTTACAATTTAAATTAACTTGTTTCTGAAAAATTCTTTAAAAGTATTTAAAAAACAGTCATAAAGCTTTCCGAATTACTCATAAATCTACAGATATGAATTTAACATCGAAAAAGTTTAAGATAAAAATGAATTTCTTTTTTTTTTATAATGAACAGAAAATATATTTACAAAAGAAAACATTCTCCAAAATAATATATATATTTTATATATATGATATATATATATAAATAAAATGCTGAAAATGTTATGATTTTTTTGATATATAGATATTACAAAACATAAATTAAATACCTTATGTATTTTAGCAAAGTTATTTAAAAATCTTTACTTTTTTATTTTAAAAATTCAAGAAAAATATTCTTGAAAAGATTCTTTTAGACCAATTAGAGGAAATAAAAAAAAAATACAGTAACTTAATTCAAAGCTATTGTTCATTACAACTGTGACAAAAATATTTGCTCGTCCTGAAGTTAAGATTGTTAAATGTAAAAACATTGCAATGTTGGAAAAGTTGTGAAGTGAAACTCATTTAACTTTATCTAAACTATATAACTATAGTAACTTTATCTAAACTATAATAACTATAAGTAACCCAGATTCAATTGTGAATATTAATTAAAAATATTGCAGAATGTTATTGAAATTTTACTAGAAGTCTAAGTCAGTCACAGTGTCTCAGTTGGGAAACTTTGATCTCAAGGATTTCGTTAGATTGGATTAATATTTGACAAAAGTTTTATACCTAAACGTATGTGGATCTTAATTGATTAAAAAAATAAAATACAATCTAGTTCGAATCTAACAAAGTTCATGAGCTATATTTAATACAAAACCCTCCTTGCTTAACGTTCTAAGTAAGCAATAGAAAATTAAAGTTATAAATTATTATAAATAAGGTAATTAATTTTTTTGTAATATCAATTTAAAATTCATGAATTACTTTAAAACATTTAAAATTATTTTATTTCTTTTGTATTAGAATTAACAGTAAATGAGGAAAAAAAATTGTATGTGACACATTTTAAAAATGAGCTATTAAATTTGGTTGTTTTTTAAATTAAATTTTTAATTACAAATTTTTATTTTAATTAATTCTTTGAAATTGTGATGAAATACAAAATCTAAAATCTTTTTGTTTTTATATGATGAACATGTAAAAAAAAATTATCAAATTAAATTTAAAAAAAAACACTTTTTGTATGTATGTTCGTATAAATCAATTGATTTTATACACATACATACATACATTATTATACATTTGCAGAAGTGTATGAAAAAACTAAAACTTACCAGCATTTTCAGGTGTTGTCATTTGTTGCAATAATTTAAATGATCTACTTGGGATGGCACTACCAGTATATTTTTTTGGTTCCGGTACTCTTTGTTCACTAGGGTGTACATACTGCTGTTGTAAGTAATCTAAAAAAAATTAAAATTTTATCATTTAAATAATATTTGAGTATGTGAATATCACATCTCACACATATTGTATCGCATTTAATATCGCACAACCTAACTCGTGAGACAGTACCAATACATATCACCACATCAAAAAATTACTGTAATCACTACTAGCAACTTCGAAAGACGGCGATTGAACACCGAATATCTAGATTCATAACATTGTAATATAATTTTAGATCTTTCACTGTCTTTTGTAAATTTTAGAAATTATAGGTTATGCGGTATTATACACGTGCGGCACGACAATATTATATAAAAAAGTATGTTTTAAAGTTTTTTTGGAAAATATAATTACCGTCATTATAGAAACCTCCTGGCTGTTGGGTGTACCGAGGAGGTTGTGGTTGGCGCATTATTGGTGGTGTTCCTAAAAAATTTACAAAACAATAATGAATACATTATATAAAATAAATTTTCTATTTAAATTAATATAAAATGTAACATTTTAAAAAAAACTATAATTGAAATTTAAATAGAAATTTTTAATTTATTAATTTATATAAAAAAAACTCTCTAAATGAAATGTCCTGTTTTAGAATATGAAATTCATTTTTTATTAAAATCATTAAACTATATGTTTGAAATTATTTTAAGTTATCAAACTACTGAAATACTTAACAAAAATTCCACTCAAACTTTAAGTTAGTGTGGTAACACCATAATTTTAATTTATTTTTAGTTCAACAAGTTGCCTTTTTTTATTAGGTATATTTTTAAATCAATCAAGCTATTTGCTGTTTTTGTTTTGTTTTATCAAAAAAAACGAAAGCTTTTCATTTCCGTACCATTCATTTGTCTAATATATGGATCAATGGAATCGCCACCATTGTACGAATTATCAAATGATTCTTCTTTCATTTTACGACCGAGAACATCTTGTAACAATTTGGATGTATGTGATGGTACGGTAGTACCACGATAGCGGAAATCATCTGCATTACATTTGGTTGTATCTTCGTCTACTTTTTCGAAAAAGAGATGGGAAGTGTGTTTTTTTTTATGTGTGTATGTTTTCAAATATTATTTTAGAACAATGTATGTATATATGTATTTGTTGTTTTGATTTCATGAAAATGGTTTCCCTATATTTTTTTTACGAAATGCCAAGATTGTAAAGAAAAAGATCAAAGATGGGTGCATAATAATGAAAGCGGTACAATTATTATAATATTTAATGAATGAATATATTTTTGAACTTGATATAAAAAAATAATGCTTTTTAATGTTTTATGTATATATGAGTTGTATATAAGAAGGAAGTAAGAATGAAATCTGTTCTAATTTAAATAAAGGTCATATTTTATTTACCGAAATAATTATGCAAGTTATTTTCACGTTTATCTATACGTATGCGATTATGTTAAATTTTTAGTTAGTATTATACTCACCCTGACTTCGAACACGGTTCATAAAATTCAAATGATCTTGTTCGTTTATTTGCATTCGTTTTAATTGTTCGTTATCAATATATGGTGATTGCGGTGTATTAGGTGCTGATTGTAATCCATTTTGACTCATTTGTTTCGAATAATGTGGCCGTTGTAATTGTGGAGGTTGATCGTTACTATTATTAAAATTAGTTTTAACAGCCGGAGAACTTCGATTTGAACTATCATCTGAATCTTCAGTTGACGTAATCTTTTGTAAAATTCTAAAGGATTTTGATTGACTTGGTCCATTGCTAGTACTACCACCCCATGAATTTTGATGTTGTAATGTACGCGGATCACTATATTGTTATTCATATAATAAATTTTGTTTCATTAGGATTTTTTTTATTTCTTTTTAGTTTTCGTTTTTAAGAATTTTTTGTCGAATTATTGTGAGTTTTTTTTTCATTTGTACAATGCGTAATCTAATTTGTTCAATTAGTTTTAATATTAATATTAATATTATTATTTAACAATTAATATTAATATATACTTTCAATTACCCATGACTTAAAAATTTAAGTAATACTGCGTTTCCTACACAAATTTCAGCAATTGGAATTCATATGTTGAATTAAATCCGTATTACTGCGCTTTTGAAGTCAGGGTAATTTTAATTTAGAATTGAAGTTAAACAACGAAAAAAACGTAAAAATAACATTCAAAAAAAGAAATATGTATAAAAGTTGAAAATTGAATGTAAATTGGCATTTAGTGCATAAAACAACGAATTCATGATTTTTATGGATTGATGAAATAATGATAACATGGCATAAAATAAAATGTTGTGAAGAATGTACGCGGTAATGTAATAATAATTTAGAATAAGTTTGACTGAAAAATGTGAAAAACCTTTAGGATAACTAACTGAAACGAAAAGCTGTTGAAAAGTATAAAAATTTATTGTTGCTTCATAAAACGTTATGAATATGACCCCCTTTTTATAGCAGTAGTTCTTATACTACAGTAAAGAAACCAGATTATTGACATCAAATAAAATGACATTGTAAGATAGGGTTTAAATTTTAAATATTGCTCTTGGGTTTGCTTTAATTTGATTTGTAAATGTCGGTTTAAAAGTTTAAAATTTGATTACATTTTGCAATTTACTTTGATTTCTTGCTTTATAAGATTTTATCTAATCATAAATTATTATTTATATAACAACGTACCTAACGGTTTGCAAAAAAATTGTAATCCTTTACAAGGTCAAAACAGTCAAATATTCTGTCAACATTTTTATTACATTATAAAATTTGTTGTTAATTTAAAATATTATGATGAATGCATGAAGATAACGAATTTATGAATATGAAATTTTAAAAATAAAATGTGAAAAATAAACTGCAAATTAAAAAAAATACAATTGTGTTTCGTTTAAAAAAACACAAAAAAAAAACCAAAACAGAAGTGAACGAAGGTACAAAAGTAACTTGACGAAACGATTTTCTAACAAAACTACAATATTTGTCAGCGACATTTGGTTTTAGGTGTAATGACATAAAATACAAAATTTTACAATCATGTACCTTAGCCTTGATTTTCTGTAACGAATTTCGGCTTCTAACGGGATGTCATGAACAAATATTCTATAATTTCCACTGTATAATTTACATGTATATATGTTTATATATATATATGTATTTATATGTTTTTGAATACCCCATTTTTTTTGAAAAATTTATAAAATATTCAATGAGAACAATTGAATTTTTTGTTTTTATAAACAATTTACATATTTATGTATGTATGTATGTATATATTACAGTTTATAAAATTGCATTTAAAACCCTTAATATATAATAATAATAATTGCTTGTGCTGATATCAAAATTAATTTTAAATAATTATTATAAAAACGTTTGCTAATAAGTTAATTTAAATACTATTTCAATTATTAATAAGCAATTTCTAGAACAACAAAGTAAAATTTTAAGCAAAATTCCATAATAAAAGCAAAATATGGCATAAGCCTGACTTCCAAATTGTAAAAAAAGTCATATTCTCTACAGAGTATCATGGTCCACTTTGCATATGAAAAATTATCTACGAACATATCCGTTTTATAATATCCAAAAGGGTTATACTTTTTAGAAACTTTCAGAATGGAATGTTTCAAAATGGTAGTTGACTGGTATTTGACCCATTTTATATTTTTTAGCCATTAACTCCTTCTTCTTGACTCTTTAGTTGTTCATTGGATAAATTTTAATTAATTTTAAAAAATTATTAATTTAAATTTCGTCTCCGTTCCATAATGAAAACACAATAAGTTTTAAAATTGGTTTAAAAGATGATTTTTTTACAATCTGAAGTCAGAGTTACTACTAATTACTCCATTATTATATCACATCATTTCAATATCTACTGCTAATTTTTTTCTAAAGAACAACAATATTTAAATAAAAAATACTTACTTTTGTATCACCATCGGTTGCTGTGATACCGGACCACGTACACTATTCGAATTGAATGGATTACCAGAACCATTGTTATTTTGTTGTCCTTCAATTGAAATTGGTATTATTCTTGTACCAGGAGCTTGTTGATTTTGTTGTACTGGTTGTTGTCCAGGATAATTTTGATAACCTTGATCTACGAATTGATTTGGATTACGGACAATATAACCAGGTGCTGTTTTTTTATTATTTAATAATGTGTTTTTGTTTTTTTTTTTTGTTTTGTAAATTTTTGATTTTGAAAGTAAAATGAAGAAAAGAAAACACACAGATACATATAAGCTTTTAGTCGTAGATACAAATAATTAATTATTGTAATCAGCAAGAAAAATCTTCACAGTTTAATTCGAATTTTAATATTTTTAGTATGCACATGTGCCACCCATTTTGTGCAATTTCATAAATTGTAGATGAAAAATTAGGAATTTCTTATTTTATATTTAACTCAGACTAAAAAAAAGGCAAGCATTTCAAACTAAAAATAAGCCAAAAAGCCAACTATTCTATGAAAGTTTATTCATGAAATGCATAAAAGTGCAATTCTTACGGTTATAATCTGTTTAAAAATTATTCACCTACAATTTTAAATTACTATACGTGGCACATGATACATCTACATTTAATAAAATTTCATTTCATTGAGCTAAGAACCAATTTGTATAATAAATTTAGATTTTTTAATTTTTAATATCTACGAATTTAATTTTTAAATATTGCACATAAAGAATTTCAATTAAAACTTAATTTTTTGGTTTTACTTGTAAAGTTCAGTTTTTCTACTTCAACTTCAATCAAACATACTAAATGTTAACGAGTGATCATTGCTGATCAATTTTAATTATGTACATATAACAAAAAAAAATTGTACTTACAACCAGCTGATCCTGGTGTTGAACTATTTGGATTGGATCCCGGGAACCCAGGTGTTGTTGGATTAGAAGTTGGTGTTCTTTCGATTTGAATTGGTATGATATGCTCCTAAAACGTTATATTATGTTTAAATTATTAATTTATAATTACATACATATATATAATGTAAATATTTTACAAAATAATTGTTTGGTGTAAAAAAAACGTAAACTCACCTTAGGTTGTGTTCCTGTTTGTAAAGGTGGATTATTCATTTGTAATTTTAATCCGGGATTATTTTGTTGTAAATGACTTGGTTGTTGATATTGTTGTTGTTGTGGCCATTTATTTGATGGCGATGGTACAGAACTGTTATACTGCTGTTGTATTGGTTGTTCTTGACGTGATGGTGTGTTTTGTTGCTTTGTTGTATCATTTTGTCGTGCCCAATCAGGGACATCTTTTGTTGGTGTTACCCATCGATTTGGTGGTGGGCCTTTTCTTAAACTACCTTGATTATTAGATTGTTGTTGATTTACAGCAAGATTTTCTGGTGCAACCGGTGGAATATAAAGTGATCCCACTTGTGACTAAAAAAGAAAAAAAATATATTTTAGTTTTTAGTACGTATTTCAACGGTTAGCTTATTACACAAATTATGTCAGTGTGTACTGATAGAATGTCAGTGTGTATGTATAATGTTACCTTCAATTTATCGTTTATTTAAAATTAGGCTTAGTTACGCCCATTAACTCATTACTTTTCATTTGAGAATTAATATTTAAGTTAATTGACCGAATTTTAGGCGAAAAATTTTTCTTAAATTTATGCTATGTTATTTTGACTGAAAACGAGTTTTGATCTTAAAATGAATAACTTAAGAATAAGAATAAGTAGAAACCGAAATTTTCATACGTCTTGCATGTCTTAAAACATTTTCTTCTTTTTTGTGATCTTCCTTCAAAATATTAAAAATACATTCCTCAATTCTTAAAATAGATTTGCAAAGGCATGCCAACTATAACTTTTTCTATTTAATTTTAATATAAAACACGAAAACAAAAAGAAAAAAGGAATATCATTTTTATTTTTTTTTTATTTTTATTCTCGTGCCATCGATCAGCAGATAACGAACACGCGTAAAAATATTTAATGGTTTTTTTTTGCAGGCGGTTCCTATAACTATTTAGTTTGTTCTTTGTGATACATTTAAGTCTCTTTTCTCAATACAAAATGAGAAGAGACATGTTTCTATAAAAATATACCTTCGTGCCATAATACAGAAAGATACAGTCATATATGCGTGTAAAATAATAGGATTTAATATTAAGTGTATCATTTCATTGCTAAGAAAAAAAAAAAATAAAAAAAAAAATTTGTAACTTTGCCAGACAAGTTTCTGTGTTTTTGCTGTGTTTTTTCACATTTTAATGTTGGTGTTGTTTGCCTGTTCCCAATCTTAATTTTTTTATGACTTCAGTGAGCCATAAAAAACCGAATTTCATAAAAATAATAAGAAAAAAAGTAGATACATGAACATGATATGCAGACTAAATGACCGAAACATTGCATGCTTGATTGTCATTTAAAATCTTCAGATATTTTTTCTGAAAAAATAATAAAAATAAACAAGAGAACTAAAAAGAAACCTTTAATCCTTGCAAGGTTTCTCATTTTTTGGAGCACATCATTGATTCTCCTACATTTAAAATATTAGGAATTCGGAAAATCAAAAAAAATATCTCAACTTTTTTTTAGTCTTGTTTTTTATTATTATTATTACTTTTGTCACCTTAATGAAACGATGTGACTTTAATAAGATTTACATTTAATCGCTTCTTATTTTCATGTTGTTTCATTTTATAGAAATAAAAAATATCGAAGAGAATCAAAAAAGCAAATACGAAAGGAAGCAATGGAAGAAAATTGATTTCAAATACTTTGTTTCTTTTTCCAATATTGAGTATGTACATATGTGTGTAGGTGATACGTGTACCTGTATAGGTACATATTATACAATAATTGTAATGCAAATCGTTTATGTTCCTTTGGGAATTGACATTTCGTTGAAGTGTTGAAATCATTATCCATTGTATTCATTGCTCACATTTTTTTCTGTTTGTAAACATTATAATCGTGTGAACAATGCTTTTAATACTTAGGGAACCAGTAACAAGTACCTAAATGTATCTAATTTCAATTACATAAAAACTACATAAATGACAATCTTTTAAAACAAAAGAAGCCTGTAAAAACTCATCTTTTAAGTGTAGTCCTTAAAAGGTTTTTAAACGTTTTTTTTTTAACTAAGAATAAAAACGGTTTTGTCTAAACATACTAATAAAGCACTCGGTTTGGACTTAAAAAAGTCATGATTGCGGGATTAATTTTATTAAGGTGGGTTAGTATGTTAAAATAATTTCACTTATTTTCAGATTTCAGATAAAAATTTCACTTTCAATCTTAAAAGTTTAGTCATTTCATAATTTATATAGAAATAAGACGAGCTTAATTTTAGTTGGACCGCGCGAATCTAATAAGCACATCATTTTCCAAATTTGTTGGAAAAGTGCTTAAAAGAAATATAAAACTTACAGCTTTCGATAATGGTTGCTGCTCTTGCTGATCTTTCTGAGTTGGACTTGTAACGTTAGATGTTCTTCCATAAGGATATTGTGTAGGATGTTGTTGTTGTGGGGACGATTGTGTATTACTATTAACACGTACCGGGCTTAATGATCTTTGTAAATTTACATTGTCTTCTTTTGGCGTATGGAATGGTGATTCAACACGCCCTTGAACTTGTGGTACTATTTGAGTTCTTTGAGGACTTTGTGAAGAACGTGCTAATTGCTGTTGATATTGATTTTGTATCTGTGATATTGCTGGTGATTTAATTGGGCTTTCACGATTTAAATCATATTGTTGAGTTTGTTGTACACCAGGTGAGCGTAACGGGCTTTGACCACGATTTTGTTGTTGGTCTTGATCATAAAGTGATAGTTGATTGATAGCGGGTGTTTTTAAAGGAGTTGTACTATAATTTTGATTAAATTGTTGAGGTTGTGATTGTTGTTGAGAAAATCCAGGAGATTTCATTGGACTATATGGTGTCGATGATTGTGGAGATTCATGTTGTTGTTGTACAAATCTTGAAGGACTTGGTGCTCGATATTGTTCTTGATGTTGTTGCATAGGAGATGGGGATGGTGTTCGATTATAATCTAATATAAGGAAATATAAAAAAAATAAATATTTTAAGAATAAAGATTGTATTCAATATAGTAACATAGATTGTTTTAGTTTACTTACTATACTGTGATGCTGATTCTGCCACAGAACCTGATGCCATTGGCATTGGGCTACCAGATTTTTCTTTTCTATATTCTTCAATCCAAAAATCATTTTTCTCTTTTGGTTTTGGTACTTTACGTAAATTAGCCATTGGATTTGGTGGAATTTTAATTTCTGGTCTACAACCCATTGGTGGAGGTTCGAATTTTTGTAATGGTGATGGTGATTTACGTGCTCCAGCACCATTCTGTTGCGGTGATAATGTATTTTTACCTGGAGGTGGTGGTGGAGGTGGTGCTCCAGCACTCTTTTGGGGTGGTGGAGGTGGTGGTGGACCAGTTGGAAATACTTGTACTGGCATACCAACCGCTTGAGCACCCATCACTATTGGTGGAGTTGTTGATGCATTACCACTATTATTTTGCGCTGCTAATGGAGATGGTTTCGGCTGACTACTGACACCCTCCATTTGTGCGTTACGTGCTATACGTTTTGCCATGCGAGGTGATTTTATTTGGGATAAATCTATGCCACTTGGTGTATACGTGAATGGCTTTTTGTCTTTTGTCATCATTGCGTTTTGTACGCAAGCCGGTGGTGCTTGTCCATATCTTTAAAGAAGAAAAAATCATAGATTAATAATTTATAGAAGTTTTTTAGAAAAAGAGGCAGTTAAATTTTTTTTTTTATATTTTTTAGTTCATTTTATTTTGTTTTATCATTTTTTTTAAATTTATTTATTTTATTATGCGTACATTTACGTAAAATAGAAAAAATTTAGTGTCATCATCATTTCACCTTCACAAATTATCATAGTGCAAATTTCAGCAAATTTTGTTGGCATCAAATATTTATTTTTTTTTTCGTTTGAATAACAATGATCGTGAAAAAATCGTTTTTATTTTTTTCTATAAGAATTTCAAAAACAACTTTTTTTTTTAATTATTAACAATTTAACTTGACATTGGTATACATCAAAAACTACTGAATAACACCACCCAATTTTAAGCGTGCAGATCGAAGTGCAAGTATTCAGTGCAAGCGTTCAATGAACCTTTTTATATAAAAAAAACCTCAACACAAAATTTTTGTGAATTTAATAAAATTTTATTTTATTTATTTTCTAGTTTATTTTCATTAAATTTTTAAATAGTTTTTAATTCACTTTTTTTAATTAATTCATCAATAATATCGCACTTTCAAATTATAATTAAAATTTGAGTTTTTTATACAACATTATCCGTTCTGAGGCCAAGCATTTACAATAAAATAATAATAAATTTTTGAATTTTTTAAAAATTGTTTTTATTCCTTAATTATGATATGAACTCTTCGATCGTCTAAATTGAACTAAAAGAAGTCAAATGAAATTTTCCTAATAATTTTTTTATTAAAGAATCCAAATATTCTAAAATACTAAACATTAGTAATCTTAAGGGTTAATAAACTGAAATAGAAAATATATTTAACCAAAAAAAAAAGAAAAGTATAAATATGAAAAAGAATTTTCACTGAAAAATTCCATTTGTAAAAAAAATGTACATACATACATATATGAAAAACTTTTAGTAAAAAAAGTTGAAAAAACCGATTTCAAGTGCGTTCATTATCTATAATGGCTATATGGCACAAAATATCTGCACAGCAATATATACTGTAGATAAACATACATATGCACATCTATTCTATTCTAATTGAAAATCATGACCAAACCTATTAAAATATCAATGTCAAAATCATATCTAAACTATACGCACATTTAAGTATAGACACATTTTTTTTAATTCTAATACATTTTTTTTTAATTATAGATAAAAATAAGAAAAACTAAAGAAATTTTCTTTTCAAAAAGAACTTTTCATTTCGAAATATTCAATTTAGGTCAAATAGTCAACAACCCCCTTTTTTTTAATGACCATCGGGTAACAACAAAATAAAAAACTATAAGTATGATTTTTCATTTCTTTCGTTTTTAATAAAAATCTTAGGAACAATCACCTTTTCTAACAAAAAAAACAAAAACATATATAAGGAGAAATAACAAGAAAAAAACCAAAGTTCTTTTCCCCGAAAAAAAAAAAATTTTAAATTTTAGACAAAGATTTTCATACAAAATATAAAATGAATTCTTTTACTTATGGTTATGTATGTATATGTATGTTGCAAAACAAATAGTATATTATATATAAAAAGAATTAAAATAAATAAGAATTTTTTGATGGATCCAAGTAAATTATGTTAGGCGACAACTGTTTTCATATATTCCATCTTTCCTGTATACAATAATATACTTATTAGAAATTGAAAAAGAAACAAGGAAAGTTTATTGAACAAATTTCACTTGTAACATTATTGTATTAATTTTAAAACACATACAAGTCATATATGTATGTGTATGTAATCAAATATGTATGTATGTAATCAAATTAATAATTTCATTTTTATATATAATATATAAGTATGCATGTATTCACAAATAAATTTTTGCGTAATTTCTAAATTTATAATAAAGTGTAAAAATAAGCGTGGATGTTAAAAATTAATTAAACATCAATTTATTTATATATTTGCTATATGGGAACCGTGAGCAACCTTTCAAAATAATTTATTTTTTTCAAAATTATTTTGTTTATATTAAAAACTAATAATTATTAATATTTTATTAATTTTTAATTAATTAAAAATGAAATTCATTCGATAAAATGTTTCAAACTCATTAAATTAATAAATTAAATAGCTATTTTTTTTTAAATTTATTTAAAGAAGATTTTTGAAAAGTTTCATAATAAATTTGTTTTTCCTATAATTATAAAAAATACAAAACGAAATCAATAAGTAAATTTATATTTTAATACTGTGTAAATTAAATTGTTGATATAGGAAATTTAATTTCATATAATTTATTTTAAGAAATTTAGCAGAAAATATTAATTGAATTTTTTTTCTTTTTTTCGTTTAAGGTGACCATTCTTCCTTTAATCGTGTTTTGAAAAATATTCTACTAAAAAAGCATTTTTCCAATTTGATTTAATTAATGGTATATCATGTTTATCTTCTATGCGCAGTCATTTTACTTTAGTCAAGAATTTTTTAGAAAATCTTGGTGTTTTTATAAAATTAACAAAGAAATTTGTACAATTTTACAAAATTATAGAAAATAAAGAAAAATCACACAAAATTCCAGAGTAACTCTAGTCTACAACATACATGGTCATATAGGAGAAATACTGAAAGAAGAAAATTTTAAACCCACCATCTTGTGATTTTTGAACTGATTTTAAATCGGAGATTTCCCGCTTTCTAAGAAGACATATTAAGAAAGATACAGAGCATATCAGAAAATTAAAATGTTACAATCACTTTTATATTGAAAATCGAATGAATACATTTATTTTAATATTATTATTTAACTTAAACAAATCATAAAATATTTTAAATTATGTGATGCAACTAGATGTTTTAGAAAAAAAAATAAATTTCAATAAGTATTTATATTAATAGAAATTCAAACATTAATATAAACATGTGTATATATATGTATATATAAATGTACAAATTTACACTTCTAGAAATTAATAGACTATAATTATTATACATTAAATAAATTTATATTTGAATGAAAATTTTAGCAATAATAATGCTATTTATATAAATTCTTAATATCTATAAAAAAAAATTCTTAATATAATTTTGTTCCACTTTAAAAATTTTGTAATTTTTTATTTAAAAAGATTAATTCTTGTAAATTAAGCAATAGTTTTATGCTCCACTTTCTGATATTTTTAAATAATTTGTAATATTTTTGAATAATATTTTATTTAAGAAATATTTAAATATAAATTAAGTTAATTTTCTATAAATTTAAAGATATTAGCCAGAATATGGACACAATAACGTTGTTTTTTGGTTTATTAGATATTATGCAAATAAAATGACGAATTAATTTAGCACTACAGTATTTAGATTTTTTGAAAATTTATAAAATTTATAAAATTATTGTAAATTTCATATATTAAAAAACATGTATTGTTACACAATGTTAAAATTGCACACAATGAAATTTTGCAATTAAAATTTTTGGTCTTAAAGTTTTTCTTTTAAATTCAGTAAAGTTTGAGTATCCTTTATTTTTAATTAATTTTTTTTTAGTTATTTTTTCAAATAAGCTTTGATAACATGATATTATAAATTTCACAGATTTGTTATGAACCAAAATTAAATTCAGTTCTTTATAAAGAACTGTTTTGGTTGTATGTATTGGAAATATTTTATGCTATTATGTACTTGAAATTATATATGTATTTGATTATATCATATTTTACAATTGACGAAAATTAATTTAATAATTTTATTTAAACACATTTAAAATATTTAATTTTTTTGTAATTGAATTATATTTCAGTTATAATCAATTTACACCATATTCTCGGTTCATAATAATTTTTACATTATTGCAATTTTTCTTTGTATGAAAGTTAGATTTTTTTTTGTTATGCCAACAATATACATATTTTATTTTGTTATTTCACACAGAAATAATGAATGAGCACTGACAACAATAAGCACAATATACAACTCAGAATTAAAAAATAATTTTCATAAAATTAAAATAATTACATTTAAGCTATTATACTTCAAAATGAAATTGAAATTTGATAAATTAGATTATGAAATAAGAACATGTTTATGATATAGCACTCTTCACTGTTTAAATAAAATGAATGAAGCCGCCATTGCTTGTAAAAATTTAAACGATTGGAGATCAATCACCGTTTCAGTTTTTTAATATTTAATATGTAGATCACAAGTGGATAATTTTTATTTTTATTTTTTTTGTTTCTATTTTGTATTTTAATTTTTTATAATCGATAAATTTTTTTTACAAAAAAGAAATCTATAATTTTCTGTAATATTTTGCTATATTTTTTTCTATTTAATTTTTTCTATAATTTTTCGATACACTCGACTACAATACTTCAGATGAAATAAATTTTAAAAATTAAAATTGTTTCCTGTTTAGACAAAAATCTTTTTATGCTTAAGAGATTTCCATATCTCATAATATATGTATAAAATTATAAAATGTGCACTCGTATTCGCTATTATTTATGTAGAAATTTATTTAAACATATTAAAGAAGATCATCAAGATCATTATTATAAACTACAGATAAAAAAAACTGAAGTGTTTTAAAAAAAAAATGAAAAATTAGTGTGTGTTTGTATAAAAGATGGCACTTGATTGGGACGTAAGCTAAGTTAGTATCTATATAAAATTAATTATAAAAAAAAAATTTGGCAACTTATTCCAATTTATAGACACGATCATTTGTTGTTCCTCTTTTTTTTTTAATTTTTATTTTCTTCAAATTTTTGGCAAAACTTCCTCATTTTAATCTTAAGAACCAAAAACTAAACAGACTATGAAAAAACTTTCTAAGTAAATTATTTTTTGAAATCATTTGTTATTAAACCTATTAATATTCTATACTATTTATAAAAAATAATTATGGAATTTAAGTAGTAAAGATAAGAAAAATTTCATTTATTATTTCCTATATTATTCAATTAAATTTAAATAAATAAAGTTCAAATTTTAAATGATCCAAATT